AGAAGGCCCTGCCATAAAATAAGTCCTGGTGGGGAGACAGAGGCCAGATCTCTTCCCCTGGACTTGACGGTCTTCCAATCTGATGCGTACATTTGACTGTTCACTGTTCTGGCTGGGCAACATCTTTCAAGGCCTCTTGCTAAGGATCCTCTCATGATGTGCTGCCCAAGAACCTTCTAATGGGATTTTCCATAATCCAGTGCTGTCTTTCGTCACCAAGCTACAGCCCTACATATAGCTACAAAATTAATAATTTACTGAAGCACAGTGGCTTTTTTTTGTGGAGCATTCAGGGTGCTTTGTGTACATTGCCTTTTTAGTCATCGTTCCGCTCACTCTCTGTATGAGGTCACGTCATTGTGTTCCTAATATTACAGGTCAGAGGCAGAGCGTGGCTGCTGGCAGGCGGCCCGGCAAGGTCGCGGCTGAGCTGCGATCGAAACCTGATGCACAGCTCGGCCGCAAGGTTAACCCGGCCCCACATAGGTGTAATGATGCACCTGGCGCCTTCACAGGCTGCTTCGCTGGCGGGCCCCAGAGATGCTGACACAGAACTAAGCCGCACTGCGTTTCACGGGTCTTACTCCCAGGGAAAGGCGCATGGGGTTGCAGTTGCCCTGTTCTGAGAGGTGCAGCGAACCTGCCTCTTCTTCTTTTACTCCGGTCTGGAAAGGCCCAAAAGCAGCTTGGCAGAGTCTTGTTGGTGCGGTTCTGAACTCAGGATTTTGAACGGCTTGTCGTTTGCCTTCACTCAGGGCAAGTCACAGGCCAAAGGGCATAGATTTTTGATCATATTTTAAAGGCGCCACAGTTCCAACTGCATATAGAAACATAGAAACAGCGCGAGTCAGCAGGGGCCTCCTGGGCCATCTAGTCTGACCCCTGGCTCCAGCCGGCTCCGCTCACAACATGCCCACCATGTGCACATCTAGCCTTTCTCTGAACACCATATATATACATACATACATACACACACCTGCATATTACTACATAACATGAAATGTGATATTTCATTTATGTCATCACTTTTATTTTTAAGGCATGGTTTGGTTTCCTCTAGTAACGCACAAGAAAAAATAAACATTAAAAGTCCATCTGTGGTTTCATACAATTTTATCTTTGTGTAGTTTTACTCCTTCAGGCTACATATTAGACTTATTCTGTATCATCTGGGATTGTAACATGTTCTATAAACATGTTAGCAACACAAAGACAATGGCATCTAGCACATTTTGTTACGTGGTTATGATGAAATAACATGATGAATTTTCGTGATGTAGGGCTGATGAATATTTGCAAAGAGCAAGATTGCATATGATCAGGAAAAAAGAAAAAAAAGGTTGGTTTGTTTGTTAGATTTATTTTAATCCCACCTCATTAACCATAAGGGTAAGACCAGTTTTTTCTCCTTCCCCATTGGCTATGCCAGCTAAGGAGTTGGTGGCCAAAACCTTTGGAAGGTCACTAGTCCTCTTGAAGTCCTTGTTAAGTGTGTGCAGCCTGGGTTTCTTGGCTTGCCCAGCTTTTGACACTGGATTCCCTTCTGGATATGGAAGAACACCTGCATGCGGGAACTGACTCTTGGAAGTTACATTCACACCTGTGAGCTTTAGTCAGTTTTGCATTGCAGGTGAAGGCTAAACCAGGTGACAGATTGATGGATTGACTGTGCTCATGGTCCTAAACAGGACTCCCTGGGTGGTGAACAATTAAGACCAATAAAATGCAAAAATAGCACAATTTGGACAACTCTGTGGATCAATTAAAAGACATTATTTTAACAGGGACAGTAAACTAAAACCATCCATAAATTCATATACAATTTGAAAACACTATCTGGTTGCTAAAATGCCTGGGAAACAGAACCATCTTTGCCTGGTGCCGAATTGAGTGCGGTGAGGGTGCCGGGCATCATATTCTAGGGATCCTATACCAGAGGAGGTGTGCTATTTCCACCTTTTAAGGAGATGGTTCACCTCTCCATCTTTCTGCATCACGGTGCGTCACCCCGTTGGGCTCTGTGCACATGCTTGGGAAGCCTCCAGGGCTAGATAATTGCTCTTTCCTGGGAGACCAGACCCTGGAGACACCCTGGTGTGTGTGTGTGTGTGTGTGTGTGTGTGAGAGAGAGAGAGAGAGAGAGAGAGAGAGATTCCCATCCTGTCCTGAGATCTTCTTCAACCGCCATCGTGGGTGCATCAGGATATTCTTTCTCCTCCTAGCTATTCTCCACGAGTTCCCTCTTCCTTTAAGCTCTTGGCCTTCTCTCCAACCTCCCTTCCCGCCTTTTCTCATCCTGAAGTAAATAAAAAAACTTGTATGCTCCTCTTGCACGGATAATCACTCGAAGAATGTCAGTGCTAGGTAAGCAACCTGCCTTTGTGACCCCAATTTGCCACCTGGCGTGGAAGTCTATGCCCGGCCCTCTCCAGTGGGCCCACCTGGGGTGGCAGGACTTAAAGACTAATAGGTATTCAAGCCGTGAAAATGGTTCCCTCTTCTTTCTCACCATGTGACGTTGGCTGTCATTGCATTTGAAGGGCTTCTTCCAGGGTAAACTTGTCCCTGAAGCGGCTGCTGATGTCCACCTAGTGGCTAAACGTGGGAGAAAGAGACATCGGAAAGAAAGGTTCATGTATGGGATGAAGCCCCCCCCCCCCCGCCCCGCTTCCCCCAGCAAACAAACTCTGTGGGAGGGTGGGAGCATAGGAATACATCCGTCGTCGCCAGTCTGGGAAGCTTTTAAATTATTCATTTGCAACCTTTATAAAACCTTTCACAGCTGGGAAAAACAAATTCCACGCTTCTTTTTGGTGTGTCTGTGTGTACACACATTCCCAGACCGACCTACACGTTTCGCACTCTCCTTGGTCTTGATGGATGTCCATGCGTCAGAATTTTCCTTTACGCCGTTGTATCCTCAGTACTAATCACTGCCTTTTTGAGGGGTAGCTTTATTTTTCCGGCCGGCTTGTGCTCTCCCTGTTTTCCTATTCTCCCCCCATGAAAGTAATTTGCTGTTCTTTTTATCTCACCCACCCTCCAAGACTCTGCCCACTGCAGCCAGTCTGTCAACAGGAAGAAGGTAATCCCTCCTGTTGTTGTTGTTGCTAGTCGCAAAGTCATGTCCGACCCATCGCGACCCCATGGACAACCTTCCTCCAGGCCTTCCCGTCCTCCACCATCCCCCGGAGTCCAGCTAAGCTCATGCTGACTGCTTCAGTGACTCCATCCAGCCACCTCATCCTCTGCCGTCCCCTTCTTCTTTTGCCATCTATTCTTCCCAGCATCAGGCTCTTCTCCAGGGAGTCCTTCCTTCTCATTAGGTGGCCAAAGTATTTGAGTTTCATCTTCAGGATCTGGCCTTCTGAAGAGCAGTCAGGGTTGATCTCCTCTCGGACTGACCGGTTTGATCACCTGGCGGTCCAAGGGACTCGCAGGAATCTCCTCCAGCACCACAACCCAAAGGCCTCAATTCTTCGGCGCTCAGCCTTCCTTATGGTCCAGCTTTCACAGCCATACATTGCAAAATTCCTCCTGCAGATTACCAAAGCTATCCTTCCCCAGATGCTGACACAGGCCTCATGGGAGCTGAAGTCCAAAACCTCTGGAGGGTGCAAGGATGGGGAAAGCAGCTCAAGGCAGCGTTTGGAAACAACCTTGCTGTTAAGTGTAATTTTGCCCAAAAACAAGCGCAGCTTGGCAGGGCTGGGACAAGCTCCTTCATGCACAACCCTTTGGTGAGACTCTAAGAGCTGCCGTGTTTCTAACCAACCCTGGGCTGGGTGCAGCATTCAGAACAATATTATTATTATTATTATTATTATTACATTTCTATGCCGCCCCTTGCCGAAACCTCGGGGCGGCTTACAACATGATAAAATACATTGAAAATACAGGGCTTTGGAATGACAGGGGGCCTCGGACTCCCCAGCTGTCATTCCAAGTGACCAGATTGTATTTTTTATTTTATTTTCCACTTATTAAAAGCCAAACGTGATGAAAAATTCCCTCTCTCCTCCCTAAAACACGACGTTGTTAAATAGATTGAGTTGCTGCCGTTGTCACTGTGGTTGTGTGCCGTCGGGTTGTGTGGACTCACGGCAGCTCCAGGAGCGCGTCTCCTGTCGTCAGCCCTGCTTGGCTCTCAGAAACTTCAGGCGGGAGCTTCGTTGCTGGAGTCAACCCAACTCCTGTTTGGTTCATCTTCTCCTCCTGCCGTCACCTTTCCCTTGCATGAGGCTCTTTGCTGGGGAGGCTCGCCTTCTCATGGTGTTTCCAAACTACGACAGCCACGTGCCCGCCCTTCTGCGAGCGCAGCGCATTTGTGACCCTCTCCTCCAGCACCGTGTTTTGGAAGCATCCTTTCTCTGCCGGCCTGTTTCCTTCCCTGCCCAGCTTTCACTCCCATCCAGAAAGATGGGGGATGCAACCGGGCATGTGCAGCATCGAAACCGGGAAGTTTAAAATGGCAGGACTCATGGCCCACCTTCCCAAAGGCCGCTTTTCTGTCCCTGCTTGCAAAGAGGAAGAGGGGGACCTTCCTGGGGAAGCGAGTCCAACAGCCCTCTTGCCCCTCTGCTCACAAGGACGGTCCATGGCATTCTGTCACCCAAGGGGGAAGCTCTTTTGCAGTGAATCAGGCCGAGGTTCACCAGGGCCACAGCCAGGCAGTAGTTCTCCAGGGTTTCAGGCAGGGGCGTCTCTGCTTTACCTGCAGTTCTGGGGACTTTCTGCCGGAGAATCTCTCATGCTTTGTCTGGTTCAGGGATTCCAAGTGGCAAATGCCCCCATTCATTGCCTCTTCTGCCTTTCACGGGGACCCTAAGTGAGTTTCCCCAACTTCCAGGCACAGAGCAAATAGATGGTGCTCTTCGGGGGTGTTCCGCTGCAACAGAGGGCCCTGGGCAATCCAGTCCTGGTCCTTCATGTTGGGAATACACTGTATGGTGTATGTGCCTCTGATTCCCTGTTTTTCTTCTTCCTTGCACGTTCCACAGGGACGCTGACAGCTGGCGAGCACACATTTCCATTCCAGTTCTTACTTCCAGGTACAATATTACAATATTAATATTACCCTGCTTTCTTGGTCTTCTGCTTCTTCTGTTTTATTTATTTATTTGTTTGTTTATTAAAAGCTTTTGTATGTCGTCCTTTATATGAATCTCTCAGGACGGCTTACAGGAATGTAAAACAATTTAAAACAACTAATAACATGATCCACAGAATTAAAACAGTGATACAGTATGAAACAATAAATAAATTTTTTTATTTAAGCAGTATTTTAAATGTTAATATTATTGAATTTTATCTGGCCAGGGCAGCTTGTTTTATATTGTATGTTTTATATCATATATTTATATTTTATTTAATGTATATATTTTAAAATGTTATTTTAATTTATTGTTGTAAGCCGCCCCGAGGCTTCAGCGAATGGGGCGGCATAAAAATGTTTTAATAAAATAAAATAAATAAATAAGCATTGAGTAAATCAAATTAAAGCAAATTAAATTTTATCCCTGTGTGTTACATTCTGGGATGATTAGATCCCAGTTCACAAAAGCCCTGTGTTGGCCGCTGGGGAAGAAACCTGGATTTGGCAATGCCTTCGGCCCAAAAAGAACTTAGGAATTTGCACATCTGGGTCATGTTGAATCTTTGTTTTTGTTTTAAATTGCAGCCAGGGAGTTATGAGTTCAAATCTAACCCTCCACCATTTCTAGAGAGAACAGGGGGCTTAAGAGCTGGGATGAACTGGAAAACCTGGGGGTGGAGCCCTGTGTTGTCTTGGCACCTTCAAGGCTTGTTCTTTTTAACCCCTGCTTTTAGTCAGGATGAAATCAGATAAGCCCTAAGATTCCGGCCTGAGCTCCCTATGGGAAAAAATAAAAGTCACGGAGGCTTCCAAATTAGAGGGATTTGACGTTGAGGAAGCTTTTTCTGCAATGATTTTCAAGAGCTTGTCTCTTGGAGTATTGCCTCTTTGTCCAGGCTTATGCATAATCCACGCAAGCACTAATTAAGTGCAGACTTTAATAGGGGTGCAGAACCAACACCTCCTAGTCATTCTTGTCTGCTTTCCTTTAAAAAGAACATCGCAAGTTTCTAGCCCTTGTGGCTGTGAAGGACACTGTATAATACCTTGTTTCTGCCGCCTCCCAGAGCTAGCAGAATTGAAATAAATAAGTAAATAGATGCATATTTGCTTTAATTCTTTGCAGAATGTACACATGCATGGCCAAGCTAGATGCTGGCATCTCTGTTGTTGTAATGCAAGGTGTGAGAAAGTATGTTCCCGCTTTTGCTATTTTTTAAAAGCAAGATGTATGTAAAGCGTCTTGTTTCTTTTTGCCCACATCTCCCTTCCTTCCTTCCTTCCTTCCTTCCTTCCTTCCTTCCTTCCTTCCTTCCTCGGAAGCAGCGTCTGCACCCACCTCCTTCGAAGGCCCTTTCGGGAAGGTCTTGCACCAGGTCAAAGCTGTGATAGAGACGTCGCGGTTTTCCAAAGACCACAAGTGCTGCAAGGTCTTCTACGTCCTTTGCCCTCTGAACCTGAATGATATTCCTGAAATTGAGGTAAGGCAGCCGTCCCAAGCAGAGGGTGCTGGGTGGGGTGGGGGGAGAAGGGAGCAGGTCCCCCCCACCCCCTGATCTGACTTGCTTCCACTTTAGGGCCACACACGAGAAACTTCCGGGCTGGCTACATCCCAGGGGATGCTTGTTGCTGTTATTCTATCATCATTTATTACTTTTCTATGCTTTTTGCTTGAACACAAGTCTCCCTGCCCCGATAGGCTAGTGCTCTGTGAATGGAGGCGTCTAAAAAATCCAGGGGGCCGACTGTGCTTCCACCGCCACCGCACACACTCCCTCTTCAGCCCAGGGGGTGCAGTCCAGGTATGTGCTGACCGCCCCCCCTCCGGGGGAGGTGAGCTAGGCAGCTTTTGACAATGCGTTAGAGCAGCTTGCAAAATCCCCCTGCCCCCAAAATACAGAGAAACATGGAAACAGAGCGAGTCAGAAGGGTCTCCCAGGCCATCTAGTCTGACCTCCGGCACCAGCCGGCTCCACTCACGACATGCCCACCATGTGCATGTCCAGCCTGTCCTCGAACACCCGCACCGATGGGGCCTCCACCTCCTCCCAAGAAGCCCTTTCCACACCCTCGGGGTCCCGACTGTCAGGAAGTGCTTCCTGGCACCCAAATTGAACCTTGGCTCCCTGAGCTTTGCTCCATTGGAGCGCGTCCTGCCTTCCTCTGCAGGGAGAACAGGTCTCTCCCCACCTCCGTGTGACACCCTCTCACATACCTGGATGTCGCCAACAGATCCCCTCTGAGTCTCCTCTTCTCCAGGCTGAAGAGGCCCAGTTCCCCCAGTCTCGCCCCATATGGCATCCCCTGCAAACCGGCCACCAACCTAGTGGCCCTGCGCTGCACTGGCTCTAACCAATACATACGGTTGCAGATTGCGATGGGCGTCAGGGTCCCGCGGCAATCCAGCTGAATAAAATCTGCAGTACTATTTAGAACCATGCAGCTTTCTCCCAGTCTGTGCCCCCCAAGATATCGGACTGCAATGCTGTGCGCCTCTGAGCAGAATGGGGATGATGGGAGCTGCAGCTCCACTCGTCCATGGACCATCGGTCTGGGGAAGGTCAGGTCAGGTTCTTCGCCAGCATGCTGAGTTGCCCCCGCGCCAACTTCCCTCTCACCCCTTCCCTGCAGCAGCCCAACACGACGTCCGTCGCCAAGAAGTTCAGTTACAAGCTCGTGAAAACTGGCACTGTCGTGTTGACGGCCACCACCGACCTCAAGGGCTACGTCGTGGGACAGGTCATCCAGCTGCGGACGGACATTGAGAACAAGTCAGGCCGGGACACCAGCACTATTGTGGCAAGCCTCGTCCAGGTAGCAGGGAGGGGCAGCCTTCTCTCCCCCCAGCTCCCGTCGGCCCCTCGCCAGCATGGCATGCTGGGCGTCCTTGCCCCACACATTTCTACAGTTCAGAAGCCCCCGAAAAGGGGAGGGGAGGGGAGAGGAAATAGGAAAGAAGAAAGGGAAGGGAAAGAGGAAAGAGGAGAGGAGAGAGGAAAGGAAAACAAGACCTGCAAATCCTGTCATTGCACAATGGCGTGCTTTTGCTATTATGGGCTGGACCGATAGGACAATGCCCTTCCCCCTCCAACACTTCCCAGGTACCCCAATGAAAATCCCATGGGGCGCTTTTTTGTTTGTGTTCGGAGCGACTGTCGCTCTCTTCTTGTGGAAAAGAAAGCCCCTATATTTGGGAGGTTCTGCCGTCGCAAGGGGCACGAAGGGGCCTCCACTAACGTCCCTCTCATCCGCTCCCCTCCCCCTGCAGAAAGTGGCCTACAAATCCAAGCGGTGGATCTACGACCTGAGGACCATCGCCGAGGTGGAGGGCTCGGCGGTGAAGGCGTGGAAGCAGGCCGAGTGGACGGAGCAGATCCTGGTGCCGGCCTTGCCCCAGTCCATCCTGCAGGGCTGCAGCCTCATCCACATCGACTACTACATCCAGGTCGGGAGACCCCACGCCGAGGGCCCCGAAGACCCCGCTAGGGACCACGTCCCCTCCCAGCTCCTGGTCCTGCTGCTGCTGCTCCTTTGTTTCTTGGCCTGGCTGACTCGCCCGCCTGGAGCATTGGAGCAGTGACCAGATTTGAATAGAATACTATAGGGGTATATTACTAATAGTAGCAAATAGCAGCAAAGAGTAGTAAATTTACTCATAGTAAATAGCAGGGACATGATATCCCTCTACAAGTCTCTCAAAGGCTGTCACAAAGAGGAAGACCAAGGTCTCTTCTTGCTGGTGCCAGAGTGTAGGACACGGAATAATCAAGTCAAGTTGTGGCAACCCAGGTTTGGACTTGATATCAGGAAAAATGTCCTCGCTGTCAGAGCAATGCGGCAGTGGGACCAGCTGCCTGGAGAGGTGGGGGGCTCTCCCACAAGGGAGACATTCAAGGCGAAACTGGGCAGCCACCTGAGTGGGATGGGGTGACGTGGTGTCCTGCAACAGCAGGGGTTGGACTAGATGCCCTTCATGGCCCCTTCCAACTCGACTCTTCTATGATTCTATACTAATAGTACTGCAGTAGTAGAAAGGAGTAGACTTGGAAAGAGCCTAGAAGGCTGTGGAGTCCAACCCCCTGCTCCACTTCCCTGTGGGGTCACCCATCCAGCTGCAGGCCAGCAGCCTTCCAGCTTAGCAAAGGCAACTTGACGCCCTCACTCAATGGATAGCTAAGCCGGCAGGCGAGATTCATTCCCTTTCCCTGCCTCCTCTCTCTGACCGGTTGCCTCCATGGGGTCCTGAGGGTGAGGGACCACGGAGCAGGAGTGGGAAGCACGGAAATCTGGCCTGAGCTTGCCCCCACCTGCATCCGAGAGTTCCCAATAAATAGTCGACTGTTCTTGCAGGATTTGTGCAGGGTGACCATTCTGGGGACGGCCGGGGCAACAAGGACAGGGCTCTGGGGCCCGGGCGTCAGGCCGAGAGGGCCCCCCCGGCCCACCGCTCTCCTGTTTCTTAGCACGGAGGGTGAAATGCACGGAATGCATGCAGGACGGCCGTTTCTGTGGTCACCAGTTGCTGAGGGGCACCTGTGGGGCAGGACGGGTGGTTTCATCTCATCCGCACCGTGGGCTTCCCACAGGCAGCCGGTCGGCCCCCGAGGGCCTGGAGTGGGGGGCTCAATTCTGCTCTGACGTGGCTATGTCCTTTCCTTGCTGCCCAACAGCCAGAGCTCTCCGGACAAAGAGCGGCAAGGGATACACGCAGAGAAATACAATCTTAAAACGATGCTCTAAGTGGGGAGTGAAGCCTTGGGTGCGCTCCCACACCCGGGCTCCTCCGCTGCTCTTACGCTGGCTGTTTGGGTTGCTCTCCCCCCATTAGGTTTGCCTCAAGTCGCCCGAGGTGTCCGTCGCGCTCCCGGTGTACATCGGCAACATCCCCGTGAACCGCATCCCGCTGAGCCCCTCCCGGTCCGTCCCCCACAGCCCGATGCCCGTGGTCCCGAGCGCGCCGCCCGAGGACGAGGAGGCGGCTGGCGGCGCGCAGCACCCGCTGGACAATGTCTCCATCCCCACCAAGAGCCATTCCCAGCAGCAGCCCCTCAGCTACGCCCCGAACTTGAGCTTCCCCGAGGGGAGGCTGGATCTGGAGCCCGGCAGCTCCCCAAACCACCCCACGCTTTGCCTGTCGACGGGGGCGACGGTGCCGTATTACGCGGAGGGGGCCGTCCTCCCGGTGGCCACTGCCAGCTCGCTCATCCTGCCTCCGGAGTACAGCACCTGGGGCTACCCGTACGGTAAGAGCGGCCCGATCCGCGGAGAGCCCGTGTAGCTGGGGCCGCAGCACAGTCTGGCGGGAAGGGATGCTCTGGCCTCCCCTGGTCTGAGGGATGGGGAACCCTGCGCCCCCCAGATGGTGCTGGACTCTTGTTCCCGTGAGCCTCAGCCAGCACGGGCAAGGGTGATGGGAGCTGTAGTCCAGCACCACCCAGGCAGGGCGCAGATGGGGCCCCATCCCTGCCTTGGTTTCTCTAGCAATGCCGAGCTCTGTAATTTGGGGAACTGCTCCTAATTTTCTAGCCTGTAGTCCAAAGCCCAGGGAATGATGAGGAAGTTTAACAAGTAATCTCTCTCTCTCTCTTTCTCTGTAAATTTCTCTTCCTTCTTTGAACCATAGCATTAATAATAATAGCAAGAAATAATAATAATTTCTTAAGAAATAATATTTAACAGGATATTCAGAGGTTCTCTCAGCCAGTAATCTCAGTAGATCTCTTGGTGACTTGATCTACCAGAGATCTTGGTTCCCCCACTTGTTTAACGATAGCAAGAACAGCAAACACTGCCCCCTTTCTACACTGGCCCATCACGGACATCTCCGAACAGTTTACAATGACATTAATAAAATAGAATGTTTATTTATTTAAAATATTCATACCCCGCTCTATACGCAGAAGCGTCTCAGGGCGCCTTACAAATCAAAACAAACAATCCAACAATTAACAATCATTAAAATATGCATACAACCAACAATAACATTTCAGAAATGACAACAAAATCAAAACAGGAGCAAAATCAAAATGCGACTGTGAAGTAGTTAAAACCAGATTAAAATCCCTAACATTCAAAATGGTGGGCAAATAAAAAGGTTTTCACCTGGCGCCGAAAAGAATATAACGTGGGCGCCAGGCGAACCTCTCCGGGGAGCGTATTCCACAGTCGGGGTGCCACCACAGAGAAGGCCCTCCTCCGGGTAGCCAGCCTCCTGATCTCATTCAAGGAGGGCTCCCGAAGAAGGACCGCCGCCTCAGATCTCAGGGGGTGGGGGCACAGAGGGGAGAAGGGGCTCCTTCAAGTATCCAGGACCCAAGCCGTTTAGAGCTTTCTAGGTCGTCACCAGCAGCTTAAATAGGGCCCGGACTTCAGTTAAGTAGCCAGTGCAAACGACAGAGGAGCAGGGTTACGTGCGAGTACCTGCCGGTCCCCGTTAACATCCTGGCAGCTGTGTTCCATTCACAGCAGCCTCGCCGCTCTCTCCCCTTGAGGTTTGTGGCTCCCGAGATGCGCCGGAGGGCACGTTTGCGGCCCCTTCCGGCTCTGACCAGCCGCCAGCCCTCCGAGGATCTGCCCCACGCTTCGGGGATCCCCCTCGCCCGTGGGGATGGGGATGGCTGGGCCGGGGGGGGGGTGAAGAAGGGTGTTCGCAACCGCTGTCTCTTTCTCCCCCTCAGAAGCGCCGCCTTCGTATGAGCAGAGCTGCAGCAGCGCGACCTCCAGCTTGAGCAACGGCCACTAGACGGGGCGGCGGAGCGTTTCCAGCAGCGCCGAGCGGGGGGCCCGGACGGGAGGCCTCCCCACCCCGCCTGTGACAGCCCCGCCGGCGACCCCTCGGCTGCCCCGTGGGGGCCCTGCCCGGCACGGCCGGCCCTCGCAGGGTCCCTCTCTCTCACTTGCTGCTATGCTGTGGGAGCATCCGTGATGCCTTACCCAAACCGCTGCGGCGACGTCTGGTCTGGATGGGGGTGTGCGGCCGCTCTGCGCGCGGGACTCTCTTACAGCCTGGGCTCCTCCTGCGACTACAAGCCCCATCGCCCCGAGGAAGCACTCCAGTCCCAACCAGGTGGTGTGGAGGCCGCCTTCTCCGTGGAACGGATGCTGCGCCGGTACTGCTCAGGAGGTGAACCTTTCCAGCAGTCTAGGGCCCTACACAGATTGCTGATCGGAACACAACTCCTATCATTCTGCGGATGAGCACTGGAGTCCTCCAGCATCTGGATGGCCATCCTGTTTGAAAAGGGCTTTTCCCGGGTTTCTCCACCCAGAAAGGCAAGTGCGCTTGTTGTAGGGTAATCTCTGGAAGAAGCGCGAAGATGGACGGAGCAGCAGTGTGAATATTCCGTGGGCACGGATGGATTGGGAGGGAGCCAACGCCTGTGAAAGCTGTGGAGCTTCCGTCTCGCTGGACACACTCCGGAGAGGCAGTGCTTGCTGCCCAAGCCCAAGCCCAAGCCCGAGGGGGCCTCCTCCGCGACGGCATCGTTCCCAAAGGGCGAGAGGCTCAGCTACTGCTCAAAAGGCATACGCCCGTTCACAGCACTGAAGAGCCTCGGGTGGAAGCGCCTTCACTTCCGCCAAGGACGGGACCCGGTTGAGTCCCGCGCCGTGCTCAGGCGACGGTGCCTGGCCCAGGTCTGCCCCAAACACGCCTCCAAACACGCGGCCTCGTGAGCGCCGGTCGGAGCCGCTCCGCCTGTTTCTCTGCACCCCAGCGCCGCGCCGAACAAGCCGACACAGCTGACAATCACGGCCCTGCCTTAATTCTACCTCTGTTGTCTCGTCTTTCAAGCAGTGGGCTTCGAGGGTGAGCGCGTGGAGCTTCGGAAGAAGGAAAGGAAAGGAAGCGAAGTGAAAATGCACATGCTTGTGTCCCGAGGAGGTTCGGCTCATCGGGCGGAACGAGGCAGCAGGGTCCCCCGGCCTCGCCTCCCACTCGTCTGGTCCTTGGCCTTTCTTTTGCTTTTCCTCCAGATCAGGGTGGGGACCCTCCTGATGTTGCTAGACTCCAAGTCCCACCAGCTCCAGCTTGCATGGCTGATGGGAGTTGTAATCCCGCGACAGCTGGGAGTTCCCCAGCCCGGCTTCAGGCAGTTTATCCTCCGGGCTGCGCTCCTTCCCCACGGAGGCCGAGCAATCCTGTTGCGGGAGAAGTCCCGATGACTTAGTGACCTTGATCGGTCACTCAACACTCCTTGAACTGGGCTTACTGGAAACACCACCTCCCCCCCAATTCAGACCCTTTTTCATGGCTTGCCCCCCCCCCCGAACACCCGCCCCCCACAC